TCGTGGTTTCTCTTGGAGGATCCTGTTCTGCACTGTTTCCGTCCTGAGAATCAGCTTGATTGGTCGGTTTCTCCCCTTCGAGTACCCCCCTATTCTCTGAACATTTACAATCTCGTCCATCTCTTCACCTATTTCCGTGATGATTTTCTCAATCTCCTTTCTTTCTTCCTGCTGCCTTTCAGTGTGTGTCCTTTCCTCTCTCTCCTGAAGCCCATGGATAAACACTGATTTTGCCCTTTCCTCCTCCCATTGCCTCACCCTCTGTGACTCTGGATCCTGCCTGTATGTGGTCAGTTTCTCCCTTGATTTTTCCAGTGGCTCTTGATAGCATGGTTGTGCCTCAGCATTCGACCTATCACCCTCTCCATCTGCAACCAGCTGTTCTTCCCTTTCACTCCTTGGTCCTCCTTGGCAGGCTGATATGACCTTAGCATAATTCATAATTCCTTCCTTCCTGTTCGGCCTCGCAGCTTCATATGCTGTGTCTTCTCTGGTCACTGCCCCTGTAACTCGCTTCAGCCTATTTATCTCAACTTCTAGGACCCTTATCTTGGCTACTGCAGTTTCGACTTGTGCCTCCCAATTCTTTGTGTGTGTGTGTGTGTGTGTGTGTGTGTGTGTGTGTGTGTGTGTGTGTGTGTGTGTGTGTGTGTGTGTGTGTGTGTGTGTGTGTGTGTGTGTGTGTGTGTGTGTGTGTGTGTGTGTGTGTGTGTGTGTGTGTGTGTGTGTGTGTGTGTTCACCTAGTTATTGTTGCAAGGGTCAAATAACAGCTCCTGACCTCTCATCTTCACTGATTGCTACTAAGTCACTCTCTCCCTGCTCCGTGACCTTTTTCATATCTCTTCTTAAAGATATGTATGGATCCAGTCTCCACTATATCACTCTCCAGATTATTTCACTTCCTGACATCTCTCTAACTGAAGAAATACTTCCTAACATCTCCGTGACTCATCTGTGTCTTCAGTTTCTAATTGTGTCCCCTTGTTGCTGTGTCCCATCTCTGGAACATTCTGTCTCTATCCACTTGGCAATTCCTTTCAGTATTTTATATGTCGTTATCATGTCCCCCCACCTTTCCCTCCTGGCCTCTAGTGTCGTCAGGTCGATTTCCCTTAACCTCTCCTCATGTGACATGCTTCTAAGCTCCGAGACTAGTCTTGTTGCAAACCTTTGCGCTTTCTCTAATTTCTTCACGTGCTAGACCAGGTGAGTGTTCCATTCTGGAATTGCATACTCTAATACGAGCTTGACGTACAAAGGGTACAGAGTCTTGAACGATTCCTTATTAAGGTATCGGTACGCTATTCTTAGGTTAGCCAGGCGTCCATATGCTGTAGCAGTTATTTGACCGATGTGAGCCTCAGGAGATGTGCTCGGTATTTTAGTTACCCCAAGATCCATTTCCCCAATCTTCTTGACTTTGTACGTGGTGGGGATAAGCTCCTGGAGCCAGTCGTTGGACCAGGCTTGCAGCCTGTCCAGATTCCTTTGTACTCCTGCCTGATCCTCATCCGATTGAATTCTCCTCATTAGCTTCACGTTGTCTGCAAACAGGGACACTTCTCAGTCTATCCCTTCCGTCTTGTCAATCATATATACCAGAAACAGCACGGTCCTTGGTCTGACTCCTGTGGAGCCAGGCTCGTCTCAGGCGCCACTCTGACATCTCGTCACCTACCATGACTCGTTATTGCTTCCCTGTTAGGAATTCTCTGATTCATTACAGTTCCTTTCCTGTTTTACCTGCCTGATCCTCTATCTTTTGCACTAATCTCTTGTGTGGAACTGTGTCGAAGGTCTTCTTGCAGTCCAAGAAAATACAGTCTACTCACCACTCTCTCTTTTCTTACTTCCATTACCCTGTCATATAACTCCAGTGAGTTTGTGATACAGGATTTTTTTTCCCTAAAACCATGCAGGTTGTCGTGTATAAGCTTGTCCCTTTCTAGGTGCTCTACCACTCTTCTCCTGATGATCGTCTTCATGGCTTTGCATACAATACATTTCAGTGACACTGGTCTGTAGTTTAATGCTGCATGTCTGTCATCTTAAAAATTGGAACTACTTTTGCTGTCTTTAACACCTTAGGTAGTTGCCCTGTGTCTATAGATGCGTTGAAGGTTGTTGTTAATGGCACACACAGTGTCTCTGCTCCCTCTCTCAAGGCCCACGGAGAGATGTCGTCTAGTCCCACCACCTTTGAGTTTAGTTCACTTAGCAGCCTCTTCAACGCCTCCTCGGTTGTGTGTATTATGTCCAGCACTTGCTGGTGCCCCCCACCATTCCGGCTTTCCAGAGTCCTTTCTGTCTCCACTGAAAATGCTTCTTTAAACCTCATGTTGAGCTCTTCACATACTTGTGTGTGTGTATGTGTGTGTGGGCCAACATATTGTGGCGGTGAGGGTTTGTGTCCTTTTCCCATCTCGAGGCTGTGTTACTGTACTGTGGTGATGAGGTTTGATAAATTTGAGCGCCTGGCAAAGGATCCAGCAACCCATTTATCGGCCTAAATGTTGAGAAGTTTTCCACTCGCCAAAATGGTTTGACTGATCGTGAATATGATATATGCAATATAACAGTATATCAATGTCTTTGTGTGTGAAAACCAAGAGAAAATAATTATTAAAAATCGAGCACATTTCATTCTCCTTGTCAGTAAGATGCCCAGAGTTATTTTTAAAAGGACCTATCTTTTCTCTAACTTTTGTTCTATAAACCTGGAAAAGTTTTTTTGTTAGTTTTCGAATCCCTAGCAACTTAATTTCATAATCCTGTTTTGCTTTTCTTATCCCCTTTTTAATCTCTCTCTTTATGTGAATATATTGATTTATAAGATGACCCTCATCTCTTTTGATGCGCCTATAAATTCCTTCTGCCCTAAAAGATGTTTGGGCCTATTATTCATCCATTTTGGATCATTTCTAATCGATCTAATTTCTTTATTCAGAATAAACGTTCTATGGGCAGCATGTATAATGTTTAGAAAGCTCTCATATTGATAGCCCTCTTCGTTACCCCAGGACCGTTACTGAGTTGTTATACTTCCATTCAATGATAAAGGTAAATGAATTGTGGTCGCTTGCACCAAGTTTCTCTGTAATTTCTAAATTATTAACATGGGTTTCTGTGTTTGCCAGAACCAAGTCAAGCAGGTTATTTCCCCTTGTAAGTTCTGTAACAAACTGCTTTAAAAAACAATCCTGAACTATCTTTAAGAAGTTGTTAGACTCTGAATTCCCAATCAACCTGACTAAAGTTAAAGTCCCCTACAATTACTACGTTATCGAGCCCTGTGGCCTTAACACTTTCCTCCTACAGTAATTTTCCTTGGTCCCTATCCAAGTTTGGGGGACGGTATATCAAGCGTAAAATCAATTTTTCATGATCCTCTCAAAATTCTATCCAGACAGGCTCTGTATGTGTTATTTCAGACTTTATACTCTTTTTTATGCAACAGTTCAAGCGATCTCGGACGTATAGTACCACCCCGTTTCCCGATACTTCTATCTACTTGGACAGTCACCAAGCATGTCCCTATTTTTCGTAATAAACCACGTCTCAGTTATGGTAAATACATCAATCAATGTTACCAGCACTTACAACTAAACTCAACTCTTCTATCTTATTCCTAGCACTACGACTATTAGTATAATATAAATATAGAGACCCTCCTTTCACTTTTCCCTTCCTGCTCATTTCTGTTTTTCCACTATTCATATTCCTGTCCTTGTCACCTAGTGCCACTGGATTTCCAGTATCCACCTCAGTCTGCCTATTGTTGGTTTCCTTAAAACTCACAATATTACTGCACTGGGAGTTCATTGTTTTCCCCCCAAAATCCATACCATCGTTTCTAGTTTAAAGCCCTAACAGTTTCCTCCACTGTATTGGCCAGTGCCCCAACCTCAGACCTCTTCTATGGCATACATGTCATTTCTGCCATAGAAGAGGTCCCAGCTGTCAATGAATGTTACTGAATCTTCCTTACAGTGTTTGACCAGCCGGTAATTGACACCAATTACCCTGGACAACCATTCATTTCCAACTCCTCTTCTTGGCAAAATACCACATATCACAGGGTTTCCACTCTGCTTCCTAATTATCTCTATTGCTGACCTATACCAGATAATCAGATCCTCACTCTTGTATCTGCGAACATCGTTGCCTCCTGCACTGAGACAGATAATAGGATTGCTCCCACTACCCCTCATGATGTCGTCCAGTCTGCTAACAATATCTTCATCCCGCCCCCAGGAAAACACACCCTTTGCCTCCTCTTCCTATCCTTAAGACAAAAAGCCCTATCCACAAACGTAATCTGACTATCCCCAGCTATAACAATGTTCTTACCTCGACAGGTGGTGTATATGACGTTCTCGACGGTGTTAGTAGAGATCTCGTCACTAGCTGGCTTCACTGTGTCGTTAACAATTGTCCTTGAAGGAATTGTCTTGGTTGGAAGATCATGGATGGTCAATTCATATTCGTCTGATAACAAGGAAAAAGAGTTACTGGTTTTCACAGCAGTCCCCTGGACCTTCTTCATCTTCAGCTTTGTCTCTTCAGTTTCGACTAGCATCCATTCGTTGGTCTGATCATCGACGACATTGTCCCAGGGATATTCCTTGCACGTACCCTTCAGTCGTTGAATTTATCTTCTTCCTTCCGTAATTTCTGCCTTTATCTGAAGATACAGCTGCTCGTAGTCGAGGGAAGTCATCATCACAATCTCAGGTAGCTAAGAATGGATAGCACACTAATCACGTCTTGACAGAGCAAGGTTTAGAGAGAGAACTCTTTAGAGGTAGCATTTATGACTAGTTAAGACATGCCTAATCAGGTAGGAAAAAGAGCGGTACAACGATGCAAGATGCTTACCCAGAGAAGATCCTTTCCTCGAATCAAGCCTGATTACTTCCCACCCCTCCATGAATCCAAATGTTGTAGGACCCTTAAGGACATAGCGTTTCATAGCAAATTTAAAATTAATAATGCTTACCCAGGGACGAGACCGGGAGAGGAGAACCAGTGGGGTCTGGTGGCGCGGTAGTGCTGAAGAATGTCCAGTCCTGGACGTACTGGGTACTGACCCTCCGCCTGTGACATAAAAAGGGTTTTCGTTTTGTTATAAAGAAAAAAGTAGTACAACTAGCTAGCTAGAGTGTTTGTTTCCTGTTGAACGGATGGAGGATAGAGCTTCCATAACCTGCAGTAAATGGCTCCACACAGATTTAGTGCATCACATAAAAATAATAAAAATATAGAGAAAGAAATCAGAGAGGTTGATATAATTATTTACATATATAGTGAATATAAACTCATAATGCTGTCATTAACTAGTGACTAGTTAATGGTCCAAGTCTAACCGAAACGTAGTCAGAAGTTTCAGTCTCCTATGTGCAGGTTATCTGTGTTCATACATAGTATGTAAATGTTTACTAAATGTTTCAAGAAATAGCAAGAATACATTCAAACAACGGTTCTAATGCGTTTTTCTCATTCTCATTCTCATTACATATGTAGATAAAAATATTATCCACAGCTTCATATCATCCTTTATGGACGATACCAAAACAAGCATGAAAGTTGCCGCGGTAGACGACACTGAAAAACTGCAAGTAGATATCAATTGTCTTCCAATGGGCAATGGAAAAGAACATATAAAAGATTTAGGTATAACAACGTCAGCTAACCTATCATTTTTGAAGGACACAATAAGACAAATGCTGTCAAAAAATTGGGCGTGAATAATGAGAACTTTCAAAACATAAGAAATAATGCCAGTGGTGACACACTTTCAGTCACGTGCGCTCTCTCGTTTAGAATACTGTTCAGTGTTAATGGTTCTATTCAAGGCAGGAGAGATATCACAGGGGTGTACCGAGCACCATGGCTTGCTTTAGAATCTCAGGTTAAAGTGTTGAGGAAGGAGGTTCTACTTCTTCAGGAAGAAAATAGGAGGCTGAAGCTTCGCCTAGATGGGTTTGGGAGAGTGTATGAGATGGATCGAGCTAGTAAGGAGGAAAAGGTTACCAACAGTGAGTTGGAGGGTGGCAGCTGCTTTGAGTGGCAAGTGGTTCACAATTCAGGAAGAAGGATGATAAGGAAGGTTAATTGAGAAGATGTGAAGGTAAGAAATCGATTCTCTATTCTTCAGGATGAGTGTACATCAGTGGTTAGTGAGGTTAAAGGTACCACTGACTCCCCTGCTAATCAAGGTAAGAATATTCTAATTAAGGGAGACTCTCAGGTAAGATATATGCATCATCCTTTTTGTAACAGAGTTAGGAAGGTCAGAGAGAGAGTGTGCCTCCCAGGAGGTGGTGTTGGTGACATAGTCACCAGGTTGGATAATATTATGTCAGGTAATGGGAACAAGCCCATTATCTGTCTTAGTGCTGGTGGAAATGACATCAGGAAGAGTAGCAGACAGGAGCTGTTGGATAAGTACAGGTCAGCCATAGATGTAGCCAGGTCTAGGGGAATGATCCCAATCATATGTATCTTGCCTAGAAGTGGAATGGGCAATAAATGGACGTCTAGGGCAATTTGTATAAATTGCTGACTAGACAGGTACTGCAATGAACTTGCAATCACATTTATTGATAACTGGGACAAGTTCTATGGCAAATGTGATCTGTATGCAAAAGATTGGGTTCATATCTCTGGGACTGGATTGCTGTATTAGCCAATTAGATTGAGGAGCTCATTGATGACTTATCTATGACTTTAAACTGATAGATTATAGAGGTATGAGTGTTTGTGGAAAACAATCAGGATGCAGTACGAGGGTTGAAAACAGCAGATAAAACCAGGATACTTCAGGAATATATTTAAAAGACAATATTCAAAATAAAGTTGCTAGTAAAGGCAAAGCAATTGTTCAACAAACAAAGAGAGATAGTAGAGGGCAACGAGTGACTAGCTCCCTTAAGGCTTACCGTACAAATAGTAGAAGCCTAAGAAATAACATAGATGAGCTAAGATTACTTGAAAGTGCATGTAATATAGATATTGTTGTTATAACGGAGACCTGGTTCAAATTGAAAGATAGAGAAATGCCTTCTGAATGCAACATACAGGGTTATAAACTATTCCACATTGATAGGGTCAACGGGAAGTGTGGTGGAGTGGCGATGTATGTCAGAGATAATTTAAATTGTTGTGTTAGACAAAATATAAGATTAGAATCATCGGGCACAGAATGAGTTTGGCTAAAGTTTCTCGAGGGTCGTGAAAAATCAGTTTCGTGTGTGATTTATTGGCCCACAAACCTAGATAGAGAGTGCAGTAAGCTGCTATGGGACGAAATTTATAAGCTGTATATATATGAAAATGTTGTGTTAATGAGGGATTTTAACTTTAGACAAATTGATTGGAACAATGTGACAGGAAATCTTGAGCCTAGTGACTTTAAAACAGTTTGTGACAGAACCAACTAGAGGAAACAACCTGCTTGACTTGGTTCTTGTCAACAAAAAATCACTAATTAATATTTTTTAGGGTTATGATGAGCTGGGGAAAGCAATCACAAATCACTTAATTTAAATATATCATGGAGTTACCCAGATAACTGCAGTCAAGTCTCTGTCCCAGACTTCCACTTGGACGATTTCATGGGACTAAGAAATTACCTGGCTGGGTTAAATTGGGATGACCTAACAATGGGTCAGGTAGGTGGTGTTGGTTGCCAATATGACGGTTTTCAGAGCATAGCGCTAGGGAAATTAGATCTAACAAAACTGATCTCAAATGGATGAACAATAGATTAAAACATCTTACTGGTCAACAGAAACGCATATATAGGCGTATCAAAAGAGGGGATGAGCAGTTAAGAAATCAACATATTCAATTAAACAGAGATATAAAAAAAAGGAATAAGAAAAGCAAAACGGGATTATGAGGCTAAAGTCGCATGGGATTCGAAGATTAACCCAAAAGGGTTCTTTCAGGTATACAGAAGTAAGATTAGGGACAAGAGAGGCCCACTTAAAATTAACTCAGGCTCGATCACTAACGATGATAAAGAAATGTGTGTGAACTTTTCAACACTTACTTCCTCTCAGTTTTTACTCAGGAAGATACTAGCAAAATTCCAGAAATAATAAATTATGTAAAACAGGACGATAATAAACTATGAACGATTGGGGTAACTAGTGATATGGTCCTCAGACAACTAGAGAATTTAAAACCTAACAAATCCCCAGGTCCTGGTGAACTGTTGCAAGGGTTTTAAGGGAATGTAAAGAGGAACTCAGCATACATTTGGCTAATCTTTTCAATATATCACTACAGACTGGCATAGTGCCAGACAAGTGGAACATGGCAAATGTAATACCTATTTAACTCCATAGTGGGAAAATTTATGGAATCAATAATTGCCGAGGCAATTCGTAGCCATCTTGACAAGCATCAGTTGATTAATGAACCTCAACACGGTTGTACAAAGGGGCGTTCCTGTCTTGTGAATTTACTAACTTTTTTCACTAAGGTATTTGAGGAAGTAGATCATGACATTGAATATGATATTGTGTATATGGACTTCGGTAAGGCTTCTATAGAGTTCCACATCAAAGGCTATTGAGGAAACATAAGGCACACAGAATAGGAGAAATTTTTTCCTGGGTAGAGGCATGGTTGACAAACAGGCAGCAAAGAGTTTGCATAAATGAGGAGAAATCAGAATGGGGGCACGTCACAAGCGGTGTTCCACAGGGGTCAGTGTTGGGCCCGTTGTTGTTCACAATTTACATAAAAAACATAAATGAGGGAATAAATAGAGACATAAGCAAATTTGCTGATGACACCAAAATAGGCCGTCCAATTCATTCTAATGAGGACACTAGAGCACTCCAGGATGATTTGAATAGACTGATGCAATGGTCGGAAAAGTGGCAGATGCAGTTTAATATAGACAAATGCTAAGTTCTAAATGTTGGATAGAGAAATATCCATGTCACATATAAACCAAATAATGTAGATCTTAATATTACTGATTGTGAAAAGGGTTTAGGAGTTCAGGTTAACAGTAATCTGAAACCAAGACAACAGTGCATTAGTGTTCGCAATAAAGCTAACTGAATCTTTGGCTTCATATCAAGAAGTATAAATAATAGAAGTCCTCAGGTTGTTTTTCAAATCTATATATCTTTGGTTAGGCCTCATTTAGATTATGCTGCACAGTTCTGGTCACCGTATTACCGAACGGATATAAATGCACTGGAAAACGTACAGATGAGGATGACAAAGATGATCCCATGTATCAGAAATCTTCCCTATGAGAATAAACTAAGGCTCCTGAATCTGCACTCTCTAGAAAGTCGTAGAATTAGGGGGTATTTGATTGAGGTGTATAAATGGAAAACAGGAATAAATAAAGGGGATGTAAATAGCGTGTTAAAAATATCTAGCCTAGACAGGACTCGCAGCAATGGCTTTAAGTTGGAAAAAAATCATATTCAGGAATGATACAGGAAAGCACTGGTTTTGGTAACAGAGTTGCGGATGAGTGGAACAAACTCCCGAGTACCGTCATAGAAACTAAGACGTTGTGTAGTTTTAAAAATTTGTTAGATAAATACATGAGTGGGTGTGAGTTGGACCTGACTAGCTTGTGCTACTAGGTCAGATGCCGTGCTCCTTCCTTAAGTGAATGTGACTTGGCCCGAACTGCAGGCAGAAACACCATGCCTGGAATCCTCGATGCCCCGAGAGGCTCGCCAGAACCAGAATTCAAGGAGTCTGAAAGACGCCAAAAACTCGGCAGCAGGCTACGACAGATCATCACTCTCAGCAGACGATGGGTGCAGAGAACTCTGCCATACCGCAGACCTCTCATCAGGTCACCCAACTCAATGCCTAGGAATTCCCAACCCTCGAAACCTCAGCCAGGCGTCATGGTCAGGAGCCTCCTGCACCCCTACCTCAACGAGGAAACAGAAACAAGAGGAACAGGAGGCGTCAACAGGGTACATCTTGTCAGCGCGATCAGCAGGCGGCACTAAGCGAGCCCCCACCGGCCATAGCACGACAACGCAGGCACTCCTTACCCGGCACAGCCGCTTTGCAGGCTCAACTGGCACCTCACCAGCAGATGC